TCTTCAGTCTTCCTTATTCATTGTCCAGCTTTCATATGCATATGAGGTGATTGAAACTACCATAGTTTGTGTTAGGTGCACCTTAGCCTTCAGAGTGATATTTTTGCTTCTTAGCACTTTAAAGAAGTCTTTTCAGCAGATTTGCCCAGTACAATACAACATCTGATTCCCTGACTGCTGCTTCCATGGGTGTTGACCCTGGATCTAAGTAAAATGGAATCCCTGACAACATCAGTCTGTTTTCCATTTATCATGATATTGTGTATTGGTCCAGTTGTGAGGATTTTCATTTTCTTTAGGTTGAAACATCATCCATACTGAAGACTGTAGTCTTTGATCTTCGTCAGTAAGTGCTTCAAGTCATCCTCACTTGCAGCAAGTAGGGTTATGTTACCTGCTTATTATAGGTTGCTAATGTGTGTTCCTCCAATCCTGATGCCACGTCCTTCTTCCTCTAGTGGAACTTCTCAAATCATTTGCTCAACACACAGACTGAATTAGTGTGGTGAAAGAATACAACCCTGACACACACCCTTCCTGATTTTAAACCATGCAGTGTCCCATCATTCTGTTTGAAGGAAAGCCTCTTGGTCTATGTACAAGTTCCTCATGAGCACAATCAAGTGTTTTGGAATTCCTGTTCTTCACAATATTATCCATAATTTGTTATGATCCACAGATTTGAATGTCTTTGTATAGTCAATAAAACACAGATATTTTTCTTTTTCTTTTTTTTTTTAATTTTAGTTAAGATTTATCTGACATCAGCAATGATATCTCTGGTTCTATGTCCTTTTCTGAATCCAGCTTGCATTTCTGGAAGTCCCCTGTCTGTGTACTGCCACAATTGTTTTTGTATTATCTTCAGCAAGATTTTACTTGTGTGTGATATTAATGGCATTGTTCGATAATTTTCACATTCTGTTGAATCCCCTTTCTTTGGAATGGGCACAAATAGTGACCTCTTCCGGTCAGTTGGACTTGTAGCTGTCTTCCAAATCTCTTGGCATAGTCAAGTGAGTGCCTCCAGTGCTTCATCCTTTTGTTGAAACATTTCAATGGGTATTTTGTCAATTCGTGGAGCCTTGTTTTCTGCCAGTTCCTTCAGTACAGCTTTAACTTCTTCCTTCAATACCATTTGTCTTTGATCATATGCTGCCTCCTGAAAATATCTGGACATCAACTGATTCTTTTCAATACAGTGACTCTGTGTATTCTCTCCATCTTCTTTTGATACTTCCTGCGTCGTTCAATATTTTGCCCTTAGAATCCTTCAGTATTGCAACTTGAGGCTTGCATTTTTTTTTCAGTTCTTTCAGCTTGAGAAATGTCAAGTGAGTTCTTCCTTTTTGGTTTTTTAACTCCAAGTCTTTGCACATTTCATTATAATACTTTACTTTATCATCTCGAGTGGCCCTTTGAAATCTTCTGTTCAGCTCTTTTATCTCACCATTTCTTCCATTCACTTTAGCTACTCTCTCTTCACTGGCAAGTTTCAGAGTCTCTTCTAACATGCATTGTGCTCTTTTCTTCCTTTCCTGTCTTTTTAACGACTCTGTTTTCTTTATGGATGATGCTCTTGGTATCATCTCACAGCTCTTCTGGTTTTTGGTCTTTGGTATTTAATACATCAAATCTGCCTTCAGATGGTCTCTAAATTCAGGTGAGTTATACTCAAGTTCATATTTTACCTCTTGTGGACTTGCTTTAATTTCCTTCAGCTTCTTCTTGAACTTGCATAAGAGCAATCAATTGTTCCACAGTCAGCTCTTGGCCTTGTTTTGACTGATGACATTGAGCTTCTCCATCACCTCTTTCCACAGAGATAGTCAATCTGACTTCTGTGTATTCCATCTGGTGAGGTCCACATATATAGCCACCATTTATGTTGTTGATAAAAGGTATTTGCAATGAATAAGTCATTGGTCTTACAAAATTCTATCATGTGATCTCCGGCGTTATTTCTCTTACCAATGCCACATTTTCCAACTACCAATGGTTCTTGTTTACTTTTATCTTTCACATTCCAATCACCAGTAATTATCAATGCATCTTGATATCATGTTTGGTTAATTTCAGATGGCAGAAATTGATAAAAATCTTCAATTTCTTCATATTTGACTTTGATAATTGGTGTGTAAATTTGAATAATAATAGCTTAACTGGTTGTCCTTGTAGGCAAATGGATATTATCCTATCACTGACAGCATTGTGCTTCAGGATAGATTTTGAGATATTCTTTTTGGTAATGAATGCAATGTCATTCCTCTTCAATTTATCATTCCTGGCATAATAGATCATATGATTGTCTCTTTCAAAATGGCCAATTCCAGTCCATTTCAGCTCACTAATGCCTAGGATATTATCTTTATGCATTCCATTTCATTTCTGACAACTTACAGTTTTTCTAGATTCATACTTCATACATTCCATATTCTGATTGATTATTAATGGATGTTTGCAACTGTTTCTTCCCATTTTGAGTCTTGCCACATCAGCAAATTAAGGTCCCTGAAGCTTAACTCTATCTATGTCATTAAGGCTGACTCTATTTAGAGGAGGCAGCTCTTCACTGTTTTATTTTGTGTGCCATCCAACTTGAGAGCCTCATCTCCTGGTACTATATCAGACAATATTTCAGGGCTATTCACAAAGTTTTCCAGTAATATATCAGTCAGTGTTTCACTTCTATTCATAAGGTTTTAAGTGGCCAGTTTTTTTTCAGAAGTGACAGCCTCATTCTTCCCAGTCTGTCTTAGTTTGGAAGCTCTGCTGAAACCTGTCAACCATGGGTGACTCTGCTGGTATTTGAAATACTAGTTTTATAGCTTCCTGCCTCACAGCAACATACAAGCCAGTGCAGTACAACAAACTGAAAGACAAATGGTGGTATATAGTACTGAACCCTGTATATACTATGTTTTTTTTCTTACATGTACATACCTATGACAAAGTTTTATTTATAAATTAGGCACAGTAAGAGATGAGCAGAAATAACTAAAAATAAAATAGAACAATTATTGAGTAAAAAGGATTAAAAACAACAACAACAACAACAAAAAAAAAACACTGCCATCTACTCAAATCAGACTCATAGCAACCCTACAGACCACAGTAGAACTGCCAGGTATGGTATCTAAGGCTATAGATCTTTACAAAAGAAGATTGCCTCATCTTTCTCCCAAGGAAAGGGTGCAGGTACTAACCACTGACCTTTTGGTTAGCAGCTGAATGCTTTAACCACTGTCCCAACAGAGCTTCTCAAATAAGGGTTACCTGAACTCAAGCACTGTGCTATCCTGATAGTTGGTCTGATAACTGAGACAGCTACTAATTGACTCACCATTGGTTAACATTTACAGTGTGGATACACTAGACAATGGGATGAAACACATGTAAGGCATGATGGATGGATCATGATCTTGTGAGGTTTCGTCACACTACTCAGAACAGTACACAGTTTAAAACTGATGAATTGTACATTTCTGGAATTTTCCATTTAATATTTTCAGACTGCAGTTGACCATGAGTAACTGAAGCTGCGGAAAGTGAAACTGCAAATAAGGGAAACTATTTATTTCCCACTCATTTTCACTTCTCCACTATCATTTCTGAGCTCTGGTGGCTCAGTAGTTAAGCACTTTTCTGCTAAATGGAAAAGTTGGCTTTTGAAATCCACCATTTTCTCAATAGGAGAAGGATGTGGCAGTCTGCTTTCAGAAGGATTGCAGCCTTGGAAATCTTATTGGACTGTTCCATTCTGCTCCAAAGGTTTGCTATGAGTTGCAGTTGACTCAGTGGCAATGAGGCTTACTATCATTTGCAATTTTTTCTTCTTTTACATAAGAATATATATCTTCTATATATCATAGTCCGTGTGCAAAAAAATTACTAATCTATTCATATAAATCACTGGAAAAACTGAAAGGTTTTGACACATTCATTTCCTTTACAATAGCACTTTATGTTAGTAATCCAGTTGCCATAGTTTCTGACTCATGGTGACCCCTGGTGTCTGATAATATTTGAAAAAAATTAGTAACATTTTGTGCTTAAGAAAATTTTGAGCAGTTTCATATTTTCTTTATATTGTAATATGTTCAGGAGTTCTGGTGGTGCAGTGGTTAAAGCATTCGGCTGCTAATGAAAAGGTCAGCAGTTGGAACCTACCAGCTAGTCCATGGGAGAAAGCTGAGGCAGTGTGCTTCTGTAAAGATTTACAGCCTTGAAAACTCTATGGGGCAGTTCTACTCTGTCATATAGGGTCACTATGAGTCAGAATCAACTTGATGGCAGTGAGTGGTTTGCTTTAGGTATAATCTGTTGATTGTTGAAGAACCATCTACTCTAGGCCAAATTGCCAGCCTAGTGATTTACAGTCTACTCTTCAATTGCATATTGTAATTTCTTTGTAATAACTGCATTTGCTACCTCTATTCTTTCATACGAACACATTTCAAATGGCTTAAATTGGAGATGACAGTCCAAATAAAATATCCTAGACAGGAAGGCATTTACAATTATTTCATTAAATTATGCCAAAATATTGTCATGTATGATATCTCATCTGACAAATTCAATAAAGACTTCTCAAAGAAACAGATTTTTACAATAAAATTCCTGTGTAGATCAGTCCAGGTGGATTTCTTCAATAAGAACAAGCAGAATTATTGTCAAAGTGATAGAACTAAGGGCAAGTGAGAGAGAACCCAAATTGATTGGCAACAGTAGTCATCCAGGAAGGGAGTTTTTGCTTTGTCATAAGTGACTGGCCCCTTATTTTGAAAGAGAGTGAATCATCTTCCCTTGAAACAAGAGATAAGTGGAAGAAAGAGCAGTTTAAAAATTATTTTACAACTATTTCCTTTGGAGCAATGACTTCTTAAACAGGAATGTGATCCAGAATAGCTTCCCTTTGAATCCAACATTTGTCTTCAGCATTTTTATTGTCTCTCTTTTCCATCATCTCATCTCACTTCTTCCCTCCCTCTGCTCAACAGATTTACACTGACTGGGCCAACCACTACCTAGCAAAATCGGGCCACAAGCGGCTGATCAAGGATTTGCAACAAGACATTACAGATGGAGTCCTGCTAGCAGAAATCATCCAGATCATTGGTAAGACCTTCCCTCTGAGAGAAAGCCTGCAAGGTCCTCCCCACTCTCCCTTTTTTGAAATACAATTTAAGTTGAATGCATACTGACTTGGTCCATGTGTCTCTGAGATCAGTGTAGCTCTCTTTCTCTCTCCTGATTTAATTTAAAAAATGTTTACATGAGGCTGTTTGAATAAGGCAGTTTGACTATATTTTTAAATGGCTAAAATTGTATCTTTACATACAATGAATTGTCAGAAATAAATGCTTCATTGAACCATATGTCTCCCATGTGTGCATTTCCTTAGCTGGAGCAGCTCATACATGCCGAGATTCCTTGAAACTGTATCCTGATCCAGCAGGGACAATTGTGAAAGGGTTCATGTCAGCAGTCATTTGGCACAGGCTAAAGAATTAGCAGCAACTTCCTTCTCACTCACTTTTTTTTTTCCCCCTGATCTGTGCATATGGAATTGGCGGCTGCTAATAAGTTTGTTCTCTTGTACACAGCTTAGGAGACAGAGAAAATGTAGGAGCAGCATTTTGCTTGGTGATTTTTTTTTTAAGTCTTTTTTTTTCCCCCTGTATTTTACTTTATTGTATAAGCATGTTGTTCTTTTTTTCTCTCTTTTATTTTATTTCTTGGCTTTAGCAAATGAAAAAGTTGAAGATATCAATGGATGTCCTAGGAGTCAGTCTCAGATGGTAAGAATCATATTTATTCTCAATAAATAATGCTTATCTTCACTTCCAGAATTAACTGCATTTGTAAATGAAGTAGGCATGTTTTTTTTGCATGTCTTTATAATTATTTCAGACACTGTTGGATCATATATATTTTTATGAGTATATTTTATGCACAAGGATAGTATCAGTACAGCTGAATAAGTGTGACTCCTGTATAACATACATCCAGGAGTTTCCCCAGATTTTTGACTTGCTTTGTTTTGAGATTCTGAGTAATTTAATTTACCTCTAGTCTTGATGGCAAAAAGTTCCATTTTTTTTTAGGTAAAGCTTTTTTGTCTGAACAAATGGTTTGCAGAACAGAACTTGCCATGTGTATTTAAAAAATATATAAATAATATTTTTGGTTCATAAAAAGTCTAGTGTAAACACACGGACTCTTCAACACTTTTGGAAATAACTCTGGACGTTTTCTAACCAATGACTGACTGTGAGATATGATTCTTAGTTTCTTCCAGAAAGCTGTTGATCTGGAAGTCTGTCTCCACCACTCCCCCCAGCTCTGTCTTATCTTTGCCAACTAATAAAGCTTAAAGGTTTTACCTTTTGTAATAAAAGTTTATAATAAAAGCTTCATAATATAATTATAGATTAATAAACTTCTGGGATAAAAATAAAAACTTACTCCTTGCTTAATTAATAGCTACAACTTAATTTTGTAGGACAGCCTGAAATACAAAGGGACTTAGTTGAAGGTACATCAAACACATAGCAGGAATAATAGCCCAAATCCACAAGATAAGTCTTCTCCAAAAACTCTTTTAAGCTCAGAATAAGCATTTTAAATGATCTTAATGAGGTCTTAATTTTTAGAAAATGAAATAAACTGAAAAACAATTATGAACATTTTTGGCATGATGATCTGCTTTGCTTAATGTCAGAAACTTGAAATCCAAAGTAATAAACGGAATTTATATTCAAAGAGTGATTAACTAGTACATGGTTTATTATTATTATTTTGTATTTTAATAGGCACTCCAACGTCTTATTCCAATGTCATGAACTCTGTGTTGTGAAAAAGTCTTTATAAAGATTCACTATAAAGTACTTCAGTATAGAGGAAATGTCTTGATCTAATCACACTATGTGCAAATGTGCCTCCATGGACATTACTAATGGATGTCTTCCATACAATTAGAATACATGAAGGCTCTTCTACATAATGCCTTTGTGATGTTGAGAAGGACATATAACCTACCTGGGCCTAACTTTCTCATCTGTAAGATGAACCACAATTAGGATGTGATATGTTTGTATAAAATGTTGTTTATTAACTAAACTGATATGCAAATGAGAATAATATGCTTTACATTTTATAATGAACATATTCGTGAATATAACAGCTGTTGAAAAACTTTAGGGCTTTTTATTAAAAAAACCTATAATCCCTTAAAATCATGTACTAATTTTCTTTGAACCCATCACTGTAGGTTTTGCTTTTATTGTTTCAACCATAGGAGGTGTTTGGTACTATAAAACATCTTAGTCTAGGAATGCTAGTATACTTTGCTATCATTTCAATTTGCTTCTGATTACAGAGATAAATAGGCAAGCTTGTACTTGATGATAGAAAACAAAATCAAAACGCTGCAAGGCTTATACCTTTGGATAGAAATCCATTCATTAGATATTTGTCTGAAACATATGTACCTACAAACCAACAAAAAATAAAACTCACTGCCATCTAGTTGATTTGACTTGTAGTGTACCTACAGATTCTACAAATCTAGAACTGCTAACCAGAAGGCTAGCAGTTCAAACCCACCAGCTACTCCTTGGAAGGAAGGTTATGCAATCTGCTTCCATAGTGATTATTGTTATATGCCATCAAGTCGAACCTGACTCATAGTGACCCCTCCCTGGGTTTCCAAGACAGTATCACTATGGAAGTATATTGCCCAACCTTCCGTCTGAGGAGTGGCTGGTAGGTTTGAACCACCAGCCTTCTGGTTAGCAGTGAAGTGCCTTAGGCACTACGCTACCCCTAAGGAGGAGTTGCTATAAATCAGATCTGACTCGACATCAGTGAATTTGGTTTTTTGGTTACTCCTTATTAGCTCCAAAATATCATGCAACAGATAGGATGCATGTTATGCTGATTCTTCTGCTTTTGATAAAAAATAGAATACATCATGAGAAAAGCAAAAGTTATGAAAAAAGATAATTTTCTAGCCAAAAATATATTAGTTGGTATCCATTGAATTTTGAGTAAGAATGACTTGGAACCTGGTTTTTCTGATGTGGTTGAATTTTGAACCTGAAATTGGGCACACCCTCAGTATGTTGATTCAGAATTATACATATGAAATAAATTTAACATTCTTGGTTGGATCCTTTTTGCCTTTGTTCTTATGAATTGGCATTGGTAATTGGCATTGGCATTGAAATTGGCATTCATTTATTAATGAATAAAAGTTCCAGACTTTAACTGAAACAAGAAAGTAGAGGAAAGAGAATTATGGTAGCATGATTAGGCTTATGAATTTCATGTATCTATTCCAAACAGGATGTTGTCTGATTTATTATTGCATAACAAGTGAGTGATGCTGTGTTAGTAACAGGGTGCTGTCTTGCTCATAGAACAACTTTGACCACATAGTTCTGTGTACCTGATCTTTAGTGAAGTTTGGTTGCTGTTTGTGTTTAATAAAATGAGGTAAGATAAAAATTGGTCTACTACTATTGGTCATAAATTGAAAGGATTTAAATTTAAAACTAGATACCTTTATTGTATTGTTTTAAGAATTTATGAATAAGTTCTTGTTTGATGGTATGAATTTACAGTACCTAACACCCATTGTCACTGAGTTGATTCTAACTCATAGAAACCCTATAGGCCAGAGTAGAACTGCCCCATAGGGTTTCCAAGGCTGTAAATCTTCACAGGAGCAGACTGCCACATCATTCTCCCACAGAGCAGCTGTTGGGTTTGAATCATCAGCCCTTTGGGTTAGCAGCCCAACATTTAACCACCATGCCACCAGTGATTCCTGATTCTACAATAAACTGATGAATTCCCAGAAGAGCCTGGTAATTCATATTTAATCAATATTTATTGAGTGCCTAAAGTTCTAGACATAGGGAACTTGAATGAACTACACTTCAGAAGTAAAAGGATAAATATAGAAATAAATAACACTATGAGTATTAGATACTGTGACAGTTATGTTTGTGTGTCAACTTGGCTGGGCCTGGTTGAGTGGCTGGGCAGCTGGTGGTAGTATTCCCCATGATGAGACTGGCAATCAACTCCATGGTGGGATCTACCACAAGCAGCTGAGTATCTGCTTTGGGTATGTGGTTTGCTCCCTGTATATAAGAAGCAGCTTTGGGAATGGTCTTTAGCCTATGGCACACTTGGACCCTGCATGTAGCTGTGTTGTTTGCTCAGTAGCCTGCTATGCTCTGCTGACCTTGGGGCTTATAATGGACTTAAGTTAATGGCCTGCCATGTGGTTTGGTAACATTGGGACTGTGCCTTTTCATTCATCAACCTTGGGCTTCTCAGCCTCAGCAGCCAGCACCTGTCTGAGTGAAGAAACACCTCTAGCTCCTGGTCTGGTGCCAGGACCAGGAGGCAGAGCTGGACCCCAAGGTTGAGGGGTTTTCACATAGCCCCTAGATCCTGGGACTTGAACTTGAACTTAAAGCCTCCAAATTGTAAGAAAAAACTCCTGTTTGTTAAGGCAATCCCATTTGTGGTATATTTCTTGTCAGAGTGGCACTAGGTAACCAGAACAGATACTAACTGCTGTTGAGTCAGATCCGACTTATAGAGACCCCTCCTTGAGTTTCCAAGGCCATATCACTATGGAAGTAGATTGCCCAACCTTCCTTCCAAGGAGTGTTAGTTAGGCAAGTACAAAAGGACTGAGGAAAGAGTGAGATTTGTGTTCCAGAAGCAAGATAGAAGCCCACTGTGGATGGAGCACAATGAGGAATATTTGGAGGAGAATATAGAAGCCTGTTCATATACACCCAAGCTAAGGAGTTTGCATATAATTGGAGCCTCTGGAAGACTTTTAAAGTGGGGCTGTGAAATAATCTGATATTAGAAAAGATCATGCCAGATGCTTCCTGAGGATTATAGGATAGTAAATTTTGGTCTCCAATTTGGTGTGAAGATAAGGAACATAGAAACCATTCAACCAAAGAAACCAAACCCACTGCTGTTGAGTTGATTCCATTCATAGCAACCCACATTGGATTTCCAAGGCTGTAAATCTTTATGGAAGTAGATTGCCTCATCTTCCTCCTGTGGAGCAGTGGGTGGGTTTGATCTGCTGACCTTCTGGTTGCAACCAAACTCTTTACCCACTATGCCATGAGAGCTCCTTAGAAACCATTAGAGGGTCCTATATTTTGTTGTGAGTGAGCAAGTGGTTACCATTGAACGAAATGGTTATTATAAAGAGAGAAAACAAACTGAAAGGTTAAATGGGAATGATGAAAAATCATATTTTGACATACAGAGTTTATTACATCTATTAGAACATCAAGAAGTCTCTGGTTGGTGTAAACAGTTAAGTTTTCAATTACTAGTCAAAAAAGTTAATGATCTGAATCCACCCAGAGGCACCTCAGAAGACAGTCCTGGCAATCTGCTTCTGAAAGGTCTCAAGACTGATAACCTTATGGTACAGTTCTACTGTGCAACATGAGGTCACTGTGAGTCAAAATCAACTCAACAGCAACTAACAACATTGGAACATCATATTGGATGGACAAGTGTTTTTGAATACAGACACAAAAGAAAGGTGTGAGTTAGAAAATACCTAGTATATAGGAAGTAGTTGAAACAATGGGTAATGATGAAATCTCAAAAGAGGTCTGTATAAAGTCATAGAACACAAAACCTGAGGTTCTGACAGTATGTTATTAATATTTATGCAATGGACAAAAATGTAGATGTCAGAAGAGGGAAAGAGTGGTGAAAGAATGAGAGCAACTTTGAGGGA